GATAGATAGATAGATAGATAGATAGATAGATAGATAGATAGATAGATAGATAGATAGGGAGCCCCATAGAGAATGCCTGCTTGTGAGCCTTTTCCTGCAAAATGGGGACACTCAGAAGGCACCTTCTATTGGCACATTTTGGATGGGTATATTCTATCTGAAATAGGTGCTCTCAAAGATACCCAGGTCCCACGTGATACAGGGCTTTATAACCAGCACCTGAATTGTACTTGGAAACAAAATGGTAGACAGCGCAGCCCTACAGCAGTGTAATGAGTCAATAATGGGTAGCTGCGTACTACATCAGCTGAAATTTCCAGGTGGCCTTCAAGAGCAGTCCCAGCTAAAGCAGTTAGAATAATCCAGGTTTGAGATCTTCCCTTTTTTCTTCTGGCCACATCCACAGCTGAGCACAGCTCTTGCCCTTCGCAGAAGACTGGATGGTTGTATTCACACATCATGCTTGACCTGGTTACTGAAATAACTCATTTTCTGGATTTGCATAATATATTGGAACATAAATTAACCAAAACAGGCTGCGTTTCCACAACACGGTAAAAAAAATGACAAGATAACACTTGAGTTAGAAATTATATGAAAGCAGCTCCTAGGTCTTTAACTGACCTACTTAAGCATGTTGTGCAAACATGGTCTATGTGACCTTGATCCCCCACACCAAATATGCAAACTCAGTTTCTAGTCCTAGGTCTGCATACTGCCTTAGACAAATTTTAGATTGCCCTCAGCCTCATTTCAGCCAAAAGAAAGTAGATTTTGTTGGATATTGGGAAAACTTTCCTAACAGAGGTCTTCAACAATGCACTAGTCTGCCTCAGAAATTAGTGGACTCTTTTTCACTGTAGGTGTTGAACAGAGGCTGGATGGCCATCTGTAGGGATGATGTAGTAGTGGATTCTTGCATTGAAGTTGCATGACCTTGATGATCACCAAGGTCCCTTCCAACTCTTCCATTCTGTGATTCTACAGTTCTGCAAGAAATCAGGTCCCACCACTGCTTGCTTTAGCCCCACCCACCATATCTGGCCCTTGAAGAATGTGGCCATCAACAGAAAAAAAAAAAAAAAAAGGACTTGCTTAGCCCTGCTGTAGACATTTTGTGGAGACCTAGCTGGTGATTCTGCAATCCTCGGTTACATGTATTTAGGAGATTAGGAAATGATGGCAAAATAAACAATACTTCCCTCTTTCTGCTGGCATTGTGGTCCTTTGGCAGCTATCTAATGTTCTTTGGCAGCTGATGTAATCATGGCTGCTGCCAGATGAAGGCTGGAGAATGGAGACATTTGACAAAAAGATGACTGTGGTCCTCCTTCTGTTCACTCCCACTGCTGTAGGCTGACATAATGGATGCCCATTAAAGTGATGCTATCACTGTCTTGCAAATTGCCAGGAGTATGAGTGAGATGCAATTAGATGGAGAAGTGTGTGGGGTTTTTTTCCTTACAGAGCTCAAGATGAAAGAATGGGGGGGGGGCCTTTGGCTAACGTTAGGTTTGTTTGTTTCTTTGCTCCATTGCTCCTAAGAAAAGTAGGGTTTGCAGATGTGGGGCACTATAATAAATCTATAAACCCTCTTTGATCAGGGATGATTGACTGATCAGTTAATTTTAATCTTAGAGGACGTTTGCTCTCTCTCTCTCTCTCTCTCTCTCTCTCTCTCTGTGTGTGTGTGTGTGTGTGTGTGTGTAAAATGGTTTAGTATACAGTATTAAAAATAGCCTGTTTGGTTACATTATGGTTCAATTCAATAACTTGACTAAGCCTATTGCATGAATAGTCAATATAGTTTATTTATCTTTAATATATTATGGGGACACAGTAACTTTATTTAACCCAGTTTTAGGATTTAACATGTGAATCCAATGAATGAATCCCTAGCTTAACATGTTTCTTCTACCCCTTTCACCTTTTGGAAGGAAGAAAGCAGAAAAAGTTACTGAAGGCTATTTAGAGACATGATATCCAGACTTGTTTTGGAGGGGGGAAAAGATGACCTGCAAGACAAGTCCTAAGACATGGGTTGGAGCAACTTTTTCCAAAGTGGTACTTTTCCAATGTATAGGACTACAATTTCCATTTGACTTTCTGACTTTTGCCTTTCTGATCTTTGTGTAGATCAGATCCCCTGTCTCCAATTTTAATCTTTCCCTGATTCCAAAATTTAGCTAAGGATCCACTTGTCTGCATAAAACTTTGTCTTATTGATTTTATTTTATTTTATTATTTTATTAAATTTGTATGCCACCCATCTTCCCTGGAGGGTAGATAGATGTCTTGATGCTCTCCTGATGATAATTGTTGTCACATACTGGCAGGGAGTAACTGAACTAAGGGCAAGGAATCAATTGTGGGTACTGCAATCTAAAACAATGGAGTAATGGGGTAACAGGTTGCATACCCTATTCTGTCTACTGTATCAATCTGTGATATCTAAACATGATAGGATTTGTAGTCTAATGTCACTGGAAGGCACTAGATGGAGGAAAGATTACACAACACCCTGAATTGTGTTGAATCTCTGTTTTATAATTCAGCATTGGCGTCCATTGTGCAGTTTCCTCCATAACACTACCTTCTTCAACATTTGGCTGCTATTTTACAGGGTTTTCCATCCCAGCTGGTGTTTGCTTGCTTTCCCATCCAGGAGATGAGGAGGGCTGGCTTTAAGCATGGGCCTCTGCACACAGATTAGCGAAAATGTGCTCAGCTTTGCACACTGAGTAAACAGCCGGCTGACTGTTCCTGGAAACTTGGATACAGTGAGGGAATAATTGGTACAATATGATTTTACTCTTGCTTGGATTAGTCCTCCCTTAGACCACATGTGCTTTTTTAAAAAATGTGCTTTGAGACTCCTCAGATGGATTCACATAGTATAATAAACCCTAAACATACCACACCCAAGTAAATAATATCCCAAGTAAATTTGTGATCAAATAAATAAACCACAGTATAGTTTAATATTCACAGAAGATGCTGAGAAATTGCTAGATCTGTACAACATGCTGAATCAGAAATTAAAAAGCAAAGCTGCCTTCAGATCGAACTTGACTCCTAGGGACTACATGGATGCAACCATGCAGTTTTCAATTGTCTTCTTCCAGGAGCGTTTTCCAATTTTCCAGTCTAGCTTACACCACTTTCCCGGTGGTCTCAGACAAGCCTGGACAGCGTCAGCCAGGTACTACCCAACCAGAAACTACACAACTGGACTTCAATCTAGTTCAGTATACAGAGTGAACTCAACCACTTAGATAAAACAAGCCCATGAATAGAGGGTCAGGCCTTGCCTCTGAAAGTACCTGGGTTCAGATCCCAACATCTGCTGTATACCTACCAACATTTCAGAAAAGCAAAAAAAGGGTGGACCTGTCTCAATACTGCCATGACATGTTTCTGAAGGTTCTGCTCACCTTTCAGAAGCTGCCCATTTCTTTATTCACTGTAACTGAAACAAGGTGCCCTAAAATAAATTATAAAGATAAGGTATTGGAATGTGTGTGCAATGGCAGTCTGGACAGAGCAGAGCACTTTGGTGGCCATATGTGCACATGTACAAGAAAAAGGATACATCCTCATGCTTTCACTCATTTCTAGTGAGGGACCCTTGGGAAGGTCCTTGAAGTTTTATGCTAACACAGCAGCTCCCAAAAACAAACTACGAACCATCTCTCTTTAGAAGGCAGTGACATATCTAGAACAGGGAACTCTATGTGGAGCTCCATAAACTCTACTTCTCATAACAATCTAATGCTTTAAAAGCATTTCACATGCATCACTCTGTTATTATAGCAACACATTGAGGCAGCAGGACAATATTTCAGTCTCATGTTGTAGTAGAAGTGATAATGAGCCATTTGCCACTTGGCCATAATAATGACCTACCTTGCAAGATTATAATGGTTCATTTACAAACAATTGTGCTGGACAGAGAGGCCTTCTAAGAATCAAAGATCCATTAATTCAACATCTGGCTTCCAACTAAATGTCTGTAGGATGCACACATAATAGTACCATTCTATTGCTGTTTGTCTTCAGCGTCCACAGCTGAAAGGTAGACTGCTTCTGGACTGGGAAATTCTGATTTAGGATCTGCAGCTGATACCCAACAGTAGACTTCTGAGGCATAAGGAATGCTTTGTTTGATCAGACCAAGTATTCATCAGGTCTAGTTGTCTCCAGCAGCAATCAGCCAAACGCCTCTAGGAAGCCCATAAACAAGGCATGAAGACAACAGCATTTAAAAAAGGAATATAGCCTCTGATCATGACTGCTCAATTTAGTTGTTCTGGTAAATGACTGCTGATAAATATAACCGCAGTTCCATTAGCCCTGGCTTGTTAAAATGATATTGGATCAATTCAAAGACTTATGAACTTGGCCAAGAAAAGGAACTGGGGTCTGTCTGTTCCTCTTTTGCATCCCCCCCTCTTTAAATCCATGTCTTTTTCCTTGACATTTCAGTGGGAAGTTGGTATCCCCCAAATGGAAGAATTTCAAAGGGTTACAGTTGCTTTGTCGGGACAAGATCCGCCTCAACAATGCCATTTGGAGAGCTTGGTACATCCAGTGTGAGTTTTGGGACTGTGGGGGGTGGGCTAGGGAGGTAGATGGTTGGGAACTCAACTCATCTTCAGCAAATAGGAGCCAAGGCTAGCTCTCTAGGGATGGGCTTCAGTGTTTGGATTGCCCCCAGCTGAAAAACATTTTAGATCCAAGTATAAGTGTGTGGTTTTTTTTCAGGTTTGATCTTGATTTCATTAAAAATCTGAAGAGCAATTTTTCAGTCCTAAAGGGAAAAGGAACTTGGGCCTTTGCAGAAGTAAATGAATAAGTCCAGGCATATTTATACATACCCATCAAGCTATTAGCTTTTAGACTAAGCAACATGACATAAAACACAATTGTAAAAAGTGAGAAGTTACGAGGAAGACAAATGATAGGCAAGAGATAAAAGGAAAGAAAATCTAGTTTACACTAACATTATTCACTATACCTCCTCATATTTTTTTGTCCTTGCAAACTATCCTTGTTTCCACCATGTCCATACAATCATATAGTCTTTAAAGCAGGGTTCCTCAACATTGGCGACTTGAAGATGTGTGGACTACAACTCCCAGAATTCCCCAGCCAGCCATTCTGGGAGTTGAAGTCCACACATCTTCAAGTTGCCAAGGTTGAGGAACCCTGCTTTAAACTTCTCATCAGTTGTGACTTTTTCAGTCTTTCCCTTTCTCTTGACCCTTTCTCTCTTCCTTCATATATTTGATCTTTTACTGGATCCTTATTCATTCTCCCTATATGATAGAATTACCCAAATTATTACCCATTTTTGTAAATATTCCACATTCATTCATCATCCAATCTTTTCTTATCATACCACACACACCCTTTTTAAGGAACTCATTCCCACTTCATTCAACTTTTATATTTCTTTCAGCAAGTATTCATTTCTCACACAGACCACATACTAGCTACTTCCATTCTCCCAACCTTTGCATGAAACTTCTCCATTTTTCTATCTTTAGTAAACATTCTACCAAGGGACACAAATTTCAGCTGTTTGCTCTATTTTTTATCATTAATGTGTAATTTGCAATTATTTACTCAATTTTCCCTGCCAAACTACTTGGTCTTTGATACTTTAATTTTCAGATTCATAGTCGTTGTTGCATCATAAAATCTATCTAATATTTGTTGCAAATCATTCAGTGTGTTGAAAACAACATGGCATTATCTGCATCCAGAAGTACATGCCTAATATTTCCACAAACATTCCTTATACATTTAGCCAGAAATATATTAAACAACCCCGGGAAGATCACACATACTTGTCTTACTCCCTCCTCAGTGTTGAACCATTTCCCAAGTATTCAATTGATTCTTATGCATGTTTTGTTTCCATAACATACCACTCATATTACATTCATTCAGCAACCAGCCTTCAACATATTTGCACAAAACTTTTGTAACTGAAGCCTATTCAGTTATACACTTCCTCTGAATCAACAATCCTGTATGTAAACAATCTTTTTCCTGTATCACAAAATAAGCCTGGAACTTCTTATGCTGTCACGTTGATGAGAATATTCACTTTTATGTTCCTGCTGGCTGAATGTATTCTTCTTGCCCAATGCGCTTGAACATATGATGCCTCCAAATCATACTTACCAATAACAAGATATTGGGGCTTTTTTATTACATCGTGCAGGAGACTGTTTCTGGAACTACATCCCAGCATTTTACTCACACCCATGTTTTCTTTTCTTTTCTTTTCTTTTTGCACTGTCAAGCTTGCTATGGCCTTGCAAATTGCTGACAATAATGTACTAGATGTTTTGCTCATCCAAATGACACAATCACACCATTATAAGTCTATTCCATAGCATCATATCTAGCCTCAGACATCTTTTTCTTAAACAAACAAAGTGCTTAGATTAAGGAGCTCTCTTTGTCCCCATCTAGCTGGGAACAGGAACCAGGGGGTTAGTCTAGCTGTAGGTAATGATTGCTAGCCTAAAAGAAGCTCAGATATATAAGAAGCAAATGGCAACTGGGGGAAGTATAGGAACCACTGAAGTAGAACATATTTTCACAATTTGGTACCCAGCACATGTTTTAGACTACAAATCCAGTCAGCCTCAGCCAGCATGACTAGGGGTAATGGGGGGTGGTAAGGAAAAACTGGAATTAAAAAAAGAGTATCTGGGGGGAACATTTCTAGATGGATGGGTCCTTCTGCTCAAGGCATTCCAAAGGCCTTGAGCAATAGCTCTATCTTCTCCTCCTTAATGGATTTTTGGGGGAAGATGAAAGAGAGGCTGGGGGCAGAACAAAGTGAGGTGGTTGTCTCATAAAACAGATACTGAGAGGCAGTAGGAATAGCCTGTGCCCCCTCAGCTTGTCTGGAGAATGGACTAATTTGAAGAAAGATTCAACTCTCATGACAATTGGCTTTTCTGCATGGAATGGGAGAAGGCACCATCTTGTTTTTTGCCTTAGGCAGCAATATGTTTCGGGCTGGCTCTATGCAGGGGTAGACAACATGGGAGAGTTACAACTGGAAGATGAAATAATCTGAAGACCCCATTTAGTTAAGTGAAAGAGGCAAGAGCCCTTCTGGAGTTTTGCTGGCAAGCAATTGAGAGCAGGTGGTAAAATAAGAAATTGGATTATTCTCCTGCTAGATGCCTGGCTTGGTTTTTGCCAGGTGGGAGACGGCTGAAGAGGCCTGGGAGCAAAGAAGAGAACTGGGTTGAAAATTCTGTCAGGGGTGTGAAGTGAGGAATGTTCACTGTAATGGATTCTTTGCCACAGATGTGGAACGCAGGAAGACCCCTGTTTGTGGATTTGTTACTCCCCTGGATGGGTCTGAGGCAGATGAGCACCGAAAGCCAGAAGTGAGTGGCATTGCATTTTCCCCAAATCTTGTATAAATGTGTGTGTCTGTGTGTGTAGATGATGCTGAGGGTGGGGTTTGAGAAGATGGGTATTAGGAAAAGTCAGCAAGATTCACACAATGTGTTTGATTGTCATGGTTAGTGCAATTTTGATCTTCTTTTCAGTACCTTAGGATCCTCTTCTCCCTCTGGGCATCCCTCTGTGCCAGGTAGACAGATCCCCCATTGCATTGTTCTCCTCCCTGCACAGTGATTTCTAGGTCGTCTTCAGAGATTTTGGATCACCCCAGAATCTGCATCTCTTCAGCAGTCCAACATGGCCTTCTATCTGTAGCCTTGAATCTGAGAGTCTGGTGACAACTTTTCCAACTAACAAATTTAAGGCATAAACTTTTATGAGCTTTAGCTCACTTCATCAGATCCATACTGGCTAAACTGTTGTAGGATTTAAATTGGGATGGGGAAAGACTGATTGGTTATGCAAATGTAGGTTGCATGTGAGACAGATTACAAGTACGTTATCATTTAACAACTGTAATATGTCACAGTTAAATGACCTTTTAAGATAGCCTGCAACCTTTTGATGTATGTGAGTTCAGCAATCTCTCACAGTCGTATTGTTAAAATTTTGTTTTCCCAAAATGATTGCTTTGAAATCTGCAATAGAATATCCTGGGAGGTTGAAATGCTCTGATATTACATTGTCCTTGTTTGGAATCCTGATGTCAAACAGGCTTTGAGTTCCAAAACAAGGGCAGTGTAATATCAGAGCATCTCAACCCGTATGTCTGATTTATAATTCTGTGAAACTAGAAAAATGTGTTACTTTACCATATAGGTTACACATGTTGTGTGAATGTAATCATAAACTAAACACAGAGGCCAGGCTCACAGAACATATTAGGCTAATACATAGTTGGCTAATGGTTCAGTATGGTTCAGTATGTTATATCAGGGTTCCTCAACCTTGGCGAGTTGAAGTCCACACATCTTCAAGTCGCCAAGGTTGCGGAACCCTGTGTTATATGAACAAAGCTTATGCTTGTCTTTTCCTTCTCTCTTCCTTTCTTTGTGCTATGCCATGAAGTGGTTATTCCTGTTCTTGTCTTAGGCTGTTATAGGGTTCCAGACATCCTGTTTAAAAGCCACAGTTTATGGTTTAGCATGATATGTGATCCCACACATTTTAGTCCACTCCGCAAGGCTTGATTAAGCCAAATCATGGTTTAGCATTGTGATGGAGATGAATCCATTTAAACATCTTTCACTTCAGTTACATTGTTAATACAATATGGAAATGGCTTTTATCATCCCAAGAGCCAGGGAGAACTTGAAAACTTGCAATTAAAAACATGGGTAACAAAAAAATGAGGGTTTTCTTTTTGATTTATGATTCTTCTGGTTTGTGGTCTTCCTTCTCAGGCCGTTGTGCTGGAGGGGAACTACTGGAAACGACGGATTGAGGTGGTAATGAAGGAGTATCACAAGTGGCGGACGTACTACAAGAAGAGGGTTAGGATTTGTGTCCCTCCTTCCCTAAAAGATACATCTTATCTACACTCTTATCAACTGACCTACTGAATGGATAGAAAAAGATAGACTTCATATCTGTCCTTGGATACTCCCTGATATAGCTATCATCTGACTGTATCTGCCATTCATCATTTGCTGATGGCAGGTTGATAAAAGAGGACCAAAAGTGGTGGAATGAGTCAAAAGCCATCTCCTAATCATGAATTGGGCAGCAGCTCCACCTAGGGGCTCATTTGGTCTTTGATTAGGAATGCCCGCTGTTTGCCTTTTCCCAAGATTCGCAGGAGATTAAAACTTTTGGCTCTGGAATTTCTGCTTAAAGAGTGCTGGACTAGCAAACTGTTGTTGTTATTATTTAAACTTGTATGTCACCTGACTCTGGGTGGCTCACAACAATCAAAGAAATACAATAAAATCAATAAAGCATAAAAGTTAAAGATAAAAGATGGCAAGTGCAATGAAGCAAGGGGTCTCCCTCTCCCTTGTCAAAGCCTTGGGTGAAGAGCCAGGTCTTCACGGCTCTTCTAAACAACAGCAGAGTGGGGCCACCTGGATCTTGGGAGGGGACCTCCTTCCAGAGAGCAGGCACTGCTACAGAGAAGGCACACTTCTGGGGTCCCGATAGATGATATTAGTGCCCCAACCCTGCAGGATCAAGCTGGCTGGGTAGATGCTATGGGAGACAGGTGGTCCCTCAAGTAACCAGGCCCTATACCATGTAGGGCTTTATAGGTAACAACCAGGGCCTTGAATTAACTTGAACAATGGCTCTTATAGCTAACATAGGATCATGATTAAAAAGAAGCAGATGTGATTTGAGCCTCTACTGTGAAGGTGCTAAGTGGATTTAGGACAGCAAGTTTACCCATTTGGAAGATGGCATGAAAATGGTACTGTACATTATTGGAATAATATCTCAGATACTTAAAGTACCATGTCAGAGGCAAACAGATCTAAGCTGATTGGGGCTCTCTCATTTAGGTTTTCTTTTGCCTAGGTGTTGGTGATGGTGATGATGATGATGGTGATGGTGATAATGTCTGCTGACCTTTCCTTTTTCTGTACTGATGATGCCATTTCATCAGCAATGGCACTACAAGCCTAAATATTAGAAATAGAATAAATCTATGGATTCTAAAAATGCATAGAGAATGACCCCTCTTTAATTTACTGCTTTGGACAAAGGTCATCATAAAATAGTCCCTTCTCTTCCTTACTATTTTCTTACTATGTATGACAACTGCTATTACTTCAAATGGGCCCTGATTGCATCGGCAGCACATTTTGAAGCTTAGCCCTGGTGAGCCATGACTTCAAAGAAGCTCAAGCTTTAATGGATGAATCTTTTAGTTTTTTAAGGTGTTTTATTTTATTTTATGATTATTTTTATTTTCCCCTAATCTAGCTTGAACCCACCTAGTGGTTTGACAGTGTATTGTGACTCTGCAATGCATTTGCACTGAAGATCCCTGGCCCAACTTGCCTCTGTGTGTTAATACCACATTTTCCTGCCTCTGAAAGGATATTTAGAAAGTTGCCAGATGAACTCATCTGATACATTAGTTCTTTGTGGGCATGATTCAGAAATGATAATACATGCATGAGCAGAATCACACAGTTTTTCCTCTCCATGGCAGAAGAGCAAAACTTTTTTCAGGAGAGATTCCAAAATCTAATGCAAAAAATAGATTGTGTGTTCAGCATAGGGGAGGTGAAACCTTTTGTACATCCCTTTATCTTCAGGTATCAGGAATTACCTAAAAGAGTATTAGGAACCACTGGAGCCCACTACCCCCTTAAGATTCTCCAGCATTCACTGTACTGGCTCAAACTACCTGTCAAAATTCATTCCCACCTAAGCCAGGGTGACTTTGCATTATCCTTTACAGTTCCATCCAGAACAGGTGTCATTTTCCAATTGGAATCCAACTCTAATGTGGCATTTCTCTTACAGCTTCACAGATTTAGCCGGGAAGGGGAAGTTCCCAGCCCAAAACCGGTGAGTGAAGAAGAGAGAACCTGGTTTAATCAATTTGGAGCTATATACCAGCTCTTTATTATAAAAGTGATTCTGATGGGATCCCAGCTGAAGATTAATTTCTCTCCCATTCAGGATGATGAACCTTGGCGATCAACAGAGAACTGGTGCAACCAGCTCTTCTCCAATGTGGTGCCAATGCTGCTGCGGGACAAGGAGGAAAAAGAGGAGGAGGGAAGGCAGCTCTTTGATATGGACAGCTTCCTCTCAGACATCTCAGACACCCTATTCACCATGACTCAGGGCAGCTGTCCCCCTCAATCATCATCAGAAGAAGGTATTTCTGATGCCTACCTAAGCTGGCTTTGGGACAGTCTGAAGAATTTTTCTACTATGCTGGAGCAAAGCAGTGGTCCCTCTAGTTTTGCATTCTGTTTTGTGGTGAGCCAGGGACTTTTAGGGACCACACAAGCCAGTGAGATGGTATTTGATGAGAGCTGTGCTTGATCAGACCAAAAATGTCTATTAGCCTAGTTCCCAAGAAGCCAACCAAAAGCTGTTGGAAGCTCAGTGACAGCATTGACAAGAACTTGTAGATAATAATACAGCCATCCTGACCAGTAACTTTTGATAGTTTTAGCTTCCATGACATGGCCTAATCCCTTTTAAAAGATACCAATGTTGCTGGTTATAACCACAATAGAAATCCATAGTTTAGCTTTGTGAAATAAAGCTTTTTCCTTTTTTCTATCCTGAATTTTCTATCATTCATCTCCATCTATTGACTCTGGGTTTCAGTATTATAACAGAAAATAAATGTAGTTCTGCCTATTTCTCCCTGTCACACGTGTACCTTTAATCAACTCAACCACATTCCGCTTACACGTTTTTTCCCCTAAGCCAAGCATTCTCACATGTTGTACTTTTTCTTCATAGGAACTTGCCCTGAGCCTGTAAGCATTTGAGTTGGTTTTTCTGTATAGTTTATAATTCTGCTGTTTTTTTAAGATGCTGTGACCAGAACTATGCAGTATTCCAACTGTAGTCCTACCACATATTTTTATAAAGGGATGTTTTTATTAGTTTTATTTTCAATCCCTTTCTGAAACATCTGTTACATGAAATTAGCTTTTTCATAGCTGTCACAGGTTGAGTTGGTGTTTTCCTTGGCTTACTACCACTACTCTAAAATACCTTCCTTGGCCAATCATCCTGAAAGAATGTGCTGTATATCTGATCAACTACCTGTGGCATTGAGTCCCAGAGGATAAAAAGAAGCTATGTGTCGTAGTTTTATGACAGTAAGCTTTTAATCATGTAACATTAAAAAGCAATAAGGTAAACATTTTCTAAATTGTGCCTCCAAAAGCATAATTTCTCTCTATCACTTTAATAGCATGCTATGCTTAATCTCATAAATCCCAGTGCCTGCACTGAGCCACAGTAGCAAATCATTACAATCATGGGGATAGTCACTGTCTTATAAGCCTTTTAAAGGGATTAATTCAGATTTAGACAATGTTGACAAATTCAATAGAGAATTGATCTGTCAATGGCTATTAGCCGTGACAGCTAAATGTAACATTCATGTTCAGAGGTGATCTACCTAAATACAGGTAGTCCTCACTTAGCGGCCACAATTGGGACCAGCAACTCCTTTGTTAAGCAACACGGTTGCTAAGCAAAACATCATGTGACCGCGACAGGCTTATGACCTCACTTCCACTGCAGTCATTAAGTGAATCACTGCAGATGTTAAGTAAGACATCACATGACCACAACTTGTGATTTTACTGCTGGCTTCTCCATTGACTCTGCTTGTTGGAAGCCAGTTGTGAAGTGTGTGAATGTCGATTGTGTGACCGCAAGGATGCTGTGATGGTCGTAAATGTGAGGACCAGTCATAAAGTTACTTTTTAAACACTGTTGTAACTTCAAACGATTGCTAAATGAGGCGGTTGGTAAGCAAGGTCTACCTATATATCCGTTAGAGCTGGCAGCAGAGGACACTATTTATGAGTGATGATTGGGAGCAACAGAATTCTGAATTATGTGGCCTTTTAGTCTGTTTCAAAAACAGTGTTCTTACGTTCAGACACATTAATCACACCCAATCCATGGCTAATTTGGAGGGCCACAGATCAAGTATCCAAGGCTTGCAAACACAACCTCTCTAAGAAAGTAACTAGCTGTTTTCTGAGATCTGGTAGATAGATGAGTCTTCATTTTGCAAGGCAGCGATAGATTGGACTAGATTACTGTGTACTTTTCTAAACAGACAATTGTTTAGAGCAGTGTTTCTCAATCTTAGCAACTTTAAGATGTGTGGACTTCAACTCCCAGAATTCCCCAGCCTGCATGTGGCTGGCGTTCACTCTTGGGAAAACTCCACTTAATTTACTATTAGAAGATTTCAGGAAACCTCAGCATAGAGCTGGGTGTTTAAGTAGAACCTGGGCAGACCAGATCCAAGCCCTAAAGTTGCTCCCCCTAAGTAGTGCCTCCTGCTCTGGATGAGGCAGTGAAGCTCTATGATAAGCTTTTGCTTGGCTTTCTTCTCTTACAGCCTACGTTGGCAACGCTGACATGATCCAACCAGACTTGGCCCCGCTACAGCCAAATCTTGATGATTTCATGGAGATATCTGGTAGGAACCAGCCTATTCTGGGGAAGGCGGAAGAGATCATGGGAGAGATCTAGAATGGGAGCTTTTTGATGGTTATGATCTGTGAGGGGCATTCAAGGCCTTGTGTACTAAGCCCTTTAGTTCTACTGTTGTGTCGCATTTTCTCAATTTACTGGAAGTGGGGGAGAGGAGGAGGAGGAGGAGGAGTCCTCAACACCAATCCCTCTCTTGGTGCAGGAATCCAATTTAAAGCATCCCTGACAGATGGCTCTCCTGCCTCCACTTTTAACAGTTCCCCAAATATAGCTTGTGTTACATGAATGTGGAACCACGCCAGGGGCTACTCAGAGAGGAAGGAAAAGTTTCTACCCAAGAAAGAGGAAATTTATGAGGAGGGGATGCTTGGGGGCTGCAGACCAGGAAGCAGCCAAAGAGCAAATGAAGGCCTGAGAAAGAAAAACGTGAGCTGGAGGAGTGTCACTCCACTCCCTTTACCGATGTGCTTCTGATACTAGGAGGCTCTTCCTTAGAACCGAGGAATGGAGAAACAACACCCTGGCTCGTGCTGGTTTTGTGTGAGTTACTTGCCCGTGAAATCCTTTCCCCAGCATCCTATTGTGTAAACTCATGACAGGTTTTGCACAATATACTAACTAGGCTGAAATGGGGTTGAGTAGTTTGGGGTTCAGCAAGTTTTGGGGAACCCAGCTGCTATCTTAGCATGTTGTGTGAACCAAGCCATCATGTAATACTGGCTTTAACGTATTGCGTGTACTCAGCCAGAGGTAAGGGGTCAGGAAGGTAGTCTTTTTCCTTGAGGGCAGTAGGCTGTAATTCAGATTTCCCCAACTTGGTACCCCCCAGTCCTGCTGGTACTGTAATTCCCAGCAAGCACATACTGGCTTAGAATCATTGGAACTGAAATCTCAATATACCTAGAAAATGCCAGGTTTGGGATGAGTGATGAATCCTTCTTAGAGTGCCTGAGAACTGTAAAGGATCATGATGGTTGTCCTTGAATGACGATGCAATTGAAGGGGTAAATTGTGGATGGGTTTCTTCTTTCCTTGTTTTAAGATGACTGCGGTCTGTACCATCACCAATTTAGAAGAGTCATTGTTGTTTTTAAAATGTATCTCCATTGGCTGTGCTTCTACCTTGGTGGCTTTCAGCAGAAAGGAGACAGCAAAAATACCCATAAATACGGCAATAACTCCTGAAATGCGACTGCTGTGGTCCTAGCTGTATAGCCCAGAACACTAGAGACACAGGTGCAGCTAATACTTAGTTTCTGAAATCTCTTTTAATTAAGAATGCAGGAATTAGATACTGTTACCAACTTTTGTTTGAATGCTATTGTGTTTTTAACCTCAGTGCTGATGCATAGAAATGAATGATGCTTTTTCTGGTGTGAAGATAAAGTGATGATGGGGGCAACTGTGGTGCCTGTGTGCTAAAAGTTGATTTAAAAATATGGAAGGAAAGCCAGTAAATAAAGGCTAGGTTTAGGTCTTTTGTTAAGCTCAATCCTCAGATAGAAGTAGTCAGAAAAATAGAATTCAGTGATATAGATAGATAATTCAGTGAAGAGAGGTACTTCAGACATGCTCAGAGGCAGAGCATTTTGAAGTGCCTCTCTTCACTGAATTATCTCACCGCTGGAATTTTAGGGACTGTGGTTTTCAGTTAATCCTTCTTTCTTTTAGGTAGGTCTAAAGGGCTGGCCTCTTATCCTTCCAGAACAGCATTCTCTTCTAGACTGGTAGCTCTACACCTTGGACATTAAGCTGATTGTATTCCAAAACTTCCATATCCTGGAAGACTAAATTGAGTCTGCTGGGTGCTAAATTTTAGGGGGCTGAAAATGTTTCTAAAATGTCTCCTTCTTTATCCAGATGCTCCAGAAGCCTCTTTGGCCTTTTTATGGAGGGAGGGAAGTTCAAGGAAGAAGGTGGGTTAGCCCCCCAAAACAGTGCTGCAATGCAGAGGAATGGCAGTAAGGTCACTACCTCTGTCCCCAGGCAGGCTGCAGAATCCTCTGCCTGTCAATCAAAGGGCAGAGGCCCCTGTTGAATGAGGAACCACCCCCACCCCCCCTTTGCTGCCCTGAGTGCCTAGAGAGGAGAGGAACCTGAACCATATGGAGAAGTCCTGATGGCAGGACCACGGCAGTCTCTGGGGATGGTGACAGACTATTGCTGGCCTTCCACTGCAGGTAGGAGATATGGTGGGGCAGATAGGGTGGGAGTTAATTCTTGCTTTTATTCAGCCCTGTCCCTGTTCCCTAGCCTAGATATCCCTTCTCCATTAACCCGGGGGGCCGGGGGAGAACTGGTGCTAAGAGAAACAAGTAAGTGCTCTCTGTACTTGTATCGGGCACTCTGTTTCGGTAGAACTGGGCCATCTGATTTTGATCTGTACCCCAGAGGTGAGGTTCAGTTGTGAAGATGTAACAGTATATAACAAAGCAGCCGGAGACCAGGAAGGAAAGTGGGGAGTTCTTGCGTCTCCCAGAGTTGCACAGGGTGCGAATTTTGCCTAGTGCAACTTAGTTCACTCACCCTCGTGTGGCAAACTACAGCTGTCTCTATTCCCACTTCTGCATGGCTACAGATGCCTCCTCTGCACCTTTTTTTTTCTCTGCACTTTCTCACTTGGGCCTTCCATTCCTAGGAGGAAGCTGCTTGGGCACTGGGCTTCTTGAATATGTGGGGACAGCTAGGAGAGGTGGTTCTGTTTGCTCCAGAGGGGTAAATAAATAATGCGTCTTCTCCACCTTTCTCCTCAAGTAACTGAAAAGAACTCATGGGGCAAGGAGCAACTGCAGAGGAAGACCATCCCTGGAAATTATGTTGGGGGGACAGTATTCTAGATGGTCCTTACTACTACTTTGTTTTCCCTCTTGCCAACTGATTCTACCCAAGTCTTTGGAGAAATTGGCAGTGGAGCATTTAGCATTCCCAGGGCAACAAGACAGAAGGAACACAGCCAACTGACAGCCTATTAATTGATCAATGGTCTCATACTGACTCTCAGAGATGTGGTAGACTACTTGTTTCCTCTTACAGTAATGTGTCTGTCTCACTGCGATCCCCAGCTATTCATACAGCTGTGGCGTATTTGGGTTTCCACATTTTCTAATTCTCTAATTCTCTTGCCAAGCCTTTCTGTATACTGGCCATTTAACAGTGAAGTGTGATGGATGTATGAATTTGTGTTTTTTCATTACGGATGAAATCGAGAGTTCTTTTTAACATCTTGGGGAAAAATGTGTCTTCTCCACCTCCAAGGAGATATGGCTGATGCAAGAAAAGAATGTAACGTGTGACCTATATGGAAACTCAGAGCTAGCTTTTAGACTCATCATGTGTGTCTGGCATAATCTGCTGCTAAACCATGAAATCTCTGTTCTCTAGTTTAAAAGCCAGGGAACGGAGTGCCCTCATAGCTCTTTTGGTCTGGGATTCCCATGGGGCAATCTCCTTTGCTATAGGGAAGAATGGCAAAATTAGATGAGGCCCAGCCTTGTCTGACTTGGAGTGTGCTGGTTATCATATCATGCCTGGTTTCATACACCATGCCACATAATTAGCTGAGTTCGTACATGTTAAGTGATGTTTTCTTTAACCATTGTTTACTGAATAAACCACAACTGATTGGATTTATACAACATATACTATAGTCCAGGGTTTACTAACTACAGTAGTTGGTTATTCAGTAGTTGGTTATTTTGGCAGGCTTAACATGTTATTCATATAATATGTTATGCCTGCCAAATAAGTTATGTTATAGTTTACATGATATATGACCTGGAGTGTTCTAGAAAAGTGGGATATAAATAATAAAAATAAATGAATAAAGCCAGTGAATGTGGATTGGATTGCCATTTTTTCCTTTGCTTGACGTACAGTTATGGAGTTTCATATATTGATGCAAACATTTAAGACTGTTAGCTAGCCTGCGTTTTGCAAAGTAATATGATTGATTGATTGATTGATTATGTGCCATCAAGTCATTGTCGACTTTTAGTGACCACATAGATACATTTTCTCCATGATGATCCCTCCTTAACCTAGTGTTTTAGGTCTTCCAATGGTGCACCCGTTGCCACTGTAATTGAGTGCATCCACCTTGCTGCTGGTCATCCTCTTCTCTTTCCTTCCACCTTTCCGA